ATGAGTGAAACAACCTAGTAATGTTTAATTAGCTTTAATGGGGGTGTGGACTTAAATAAACACTGGCAGAGAGTATCACTTTCAGAATTACATTAATGTCACAATTTTCATGTGCATGAAATAGCTTACTATACAGCACATTACCAGCTTTCCAAAACCTCATACAGTGGCAGCAGTCAAAACTACAGGAAATGATTTCCAATGAGATAATTCACCCGCAAACAAATTAAATCCCATTACACACATTTTTCTTTATAAATTTTGGTCTGTAGTCTTGCCACAATCTTTTCCCCTTAAATATCTTTAATGTCACTTTTGTATATAACAATCTCGTCGAAATCACTGTGCTGCATTAATGTCTCATTCTCACATGCTCAAGTTATCTTAAGTAAACATCAAAAGTATAAACAATGGGTTTTCAGCAGCAACACACCAATCTCTGCCGTGTTTATTCTGGCTCTGTAATGGTGTAAAGGTTATACACCTAAGCCATTGGCCGTAATATGAGTGGTCTCCTCCCATAGGTTGGGAGGTTACAAACACACCATTGATAGGCTGCCCATGAATGGTGTTAGGACGAAGCCATCTGCTTCTGTTTATGGTTCATTAACCCTGCTACCCCTGGATAACCAAGCTGCTCCTACAGCAACAGGTACCAGAGGCCGGCATGGGCTTACTTACTGAGATTACACTCAGACTGAAGAGGAACATAAGCGGCCAAGTCTCGATTCTGCCTCAACATGGTTGTTGATTGAGAAGTTTAAGATAAAAGAAAAATAGCTGGGGTGTCCTTACCTTCCCAAAAGTCCATAGGCATACAGTGAATCTGCCAGCAGCAGTGTGATCTCACCCCTCTGCATGGACATGACGCACTCCTCCAGGGCCTACAGGTGTACAAATTACAACGTGTCATTTAACGCATACCTAATTTATATACCTGTCCACAAAATTCATTTCAGCATTTGTTTTGCACAGTTCAGTGTCCTTGACTGACGAAACCTGCTTATTAGCCAGTATTTGAGGATTTGTATGTTTATTGTTTTTTTCAGTGGGTTCTTCTACTGTTGTCCAGACTGAAATATCTCAACAACTACAAGATGAACTGTTTGAGCATTGTTTGTACATGTTTGTGGTTCCCAGAGGATGCACCTTATTGACTTTGATGGCATTCTAAGCTTTGCCTTTTTGGTCCAACAGCTAGTAGACTGATTTTCATGAAAATTGGTACAAAACATTATTCTCCATGACTTTGGTTTATGATTCACAAGTAGTTGTTTTGTCATTTTGATGTCTGTTGATGTTAGTGTGGTTACCTTTGTCTTCTTTTCCAAGTTTCATAGTCTCTACTGATTACTGCTGACCCATGATGTGATATAGACGCTCTACACTTAAGAAAACTGATTAAAATGAAGGGTTCAAAGCTGTCACCTGGTTTACATCTCCCTCGCCGATAACAAAGACGAGCTTGCGGTCTTTCTCTACCACAGTGCGGTCCTCCAGGACACACTGCATCTTTATAGCCACCTCCTGGCCCCAGGTGGGGCACGGGACAAGTGGGGCAGCAGGCTCCAGCACCTTCTTCCTTAACAGCCGGTCCTCTGCGTGTGGAGAGAAGAAAAGGTTGTGCAGGAGGAAGCTGTATTAATCTGCTAGTAGTTAGTAAACACAAGCTCAGACAGCCACAAACAAACTATGGTTGAACTCTGGTCACTTTTCTTCTTAAATCAAAATTTTATGACTTTTCAAGTCTAACATGTGTGTCTGTGCATGAGATGTGATGTTCACTGACGTATCCTGACCTGTGATGTCCTGCCAGTTTTCTGCCATGAACAGCTTCTCAAAGGTCGAGGAAGTCCACTCCTCCGTGGCATAGCCTGGAAAGAGACTCTCTGCCGAGGTGTCCTTCTCCAATACATCGTCCCCTTCTGATGGGTCTTGAAATCGAACCATCTTCCAGCTGTTAGTTTTTGTCAGTTTCCTCTTTTCTCTGCATTCTGGCTCTCCACCGTCACAGGGGCTTTTTATCTCAGTGCTTTTATTCGGTTCTGTATGGCTCTCTGTTTCAGTCTGCTCTTTCCTTCGTAGCCCCTCTCCTTCCTCTGCAGGCCCACAGGGCAGCTCGCTGTGGCTCCTCTTGTCAGAGATCTCTGAAATGGCCTCTCTTACCTCAGGCTCTGTCGGCTCCACTGCTGGGTCTTTATGCTCCTCGCAACATGGCTCTTTCTCCATTTCACTACAGAGAGCGATGGACACCATCTGCATTAGTCTCCAAAAGATATAATTCTCCTTGTCAAGCCAATCTTCCACTTAGGTGTAAGTCCGTAGGTCTGTTTTGAACCAATCCCTGCAAGCTACACTCTGTAAAAACAAAAAAATATCTCCATGATGTAATATTTACAAAAAGCCATGCTGTGTTTCATTAAATCCAACTCAGAATGCATCCCTAAATCCTGGCTTTATCTAGGTTTTTTTCCCGCCTGCAGCTATGTAGTTTCCGCAGTTCTGCTGCACTTTGACCTCCTCCGTCTCCTGCTTGTGTCCCTCTTAGTCTATGTGGTCCACTGATATGGCAGCAACGAAAAATGATCAATGCAAAGAAACTGTGCAGCGCAACGAAGCACTCTCAGCCAGCAGGCTTGTGCAGTGGTAATCTGCAGGATTAGAAGAGAAAAACCTAATCTGCCAGAACGTCTGTAATCTTCTTAATGACTTCACCGTCGTGTCCCATAACGCAGTTTCCATGAATGCAATCTACCACTAAGATCTCAGGAGACACAAGCTCCAATGTAATTTGCTTTGAATTTTGTTGTGATGTGTTTATTTTTACTTTTTAAGAAGTTCCACAACACTGAGTGAAAAACACAGGCTGTAACACTGACAGTGGATTACAGATTACATACAGTATACTGTGTTTATGCTGTGAACTTTGTGAAGGAAACACATTTTATATATTTGCATAATTACCTCCACCAAAGAGTTATGTTTGTTCGCAAAAACTATTCCACCAATTTCATTTAAAACTTGATAACATAGGGCATTTTTCAATATTTTTGTTGATTTCTCAGAACTTCATAAAAGGCATATTTAATTGATATCTGCAAACAATTTAGTGTGACTGCAAATTAAAATCTGAATCTAGCTGATTTAGATATTGTTTATTAGGGCACTGGTGGAGGTATGTGAACTAGACCCATTCTAGTTAAGTTTAGTTTAGTATATTCAAGTGTAGGTTTAATGTCATGCCCAAGCATCAAACAAGATTTATTAATGTCAAAGCAATGCATCATGAAATAGAGTATTTACCTCCACCAAGGCTTACGCGGTATTTTACCATGTTCAAGAAAATTGGGTCGTTGGTAAATGGGTCAATATTTGATCAACCTATTTACCCAGATTTTCTTCAAAATGTCTTTCTTGGGTCATACCCCACCTCTGTACAAAGTTTCATGCAAATAGGTTCTGTTCTGTTATTGATCAAACGGCTGAAGTCGTGCTAAAAAAACAAATGTTAGGGTTCATTAAGACATCAACTTATTCAGAGAAGGTGATATAATGATAAAAAGTTGAGGTAACATGGATTAAAATGTCACAAGCCTGTTGTCATAGCTTCAGTAGAAGTTATGAGTGTATCATTCTCAGCAGTAGCACAGAACATTATCCAATTGTTATACTGATGCACGAATGCAACGTTATTGATCACTTCACCTTTTACCCAAAGTACAAAAATATCAAATACCATGTCATTTATTAAATATTTGACTGTCAAGCCAAGAGTGTCTGAGTCATTTCTCCAATCCCGAAAGAAACATCAACACCGCAGAAGCAGATCTAGACTAATATGAAATCAATACATCAACATCCTCCTCACCACATTGTAAACAAACACTTCTTTATGGACTGTGAGGACGATCTATAATCCACAGTCAAAGCATGTTTTCCACCAAGATTAAATTAATTCATGTGTCATATTTGTCTTATTTTTTTATCCTTACATGACTACCCTGCTTGGAAATATCTGTACTTAAAGTATAGCCCACTTTTATTCTGTTCTACTTTTGAATATACTGCACTACACAAATGAATGTTGTTATGAAAATGTCCTCATTCATAAGTTTGTCTTGTTCGTAGTTGAACTTCCTCGTCTGTGTGCTCCAAACTACATACAGTGTGTTTACTGAAATCCAGCAGGAGGAGGGTGAGTTGGACGTGACCCAGAGCGAAAATAGATCAAACATGAGATAAATACAGGCTGGAAACTCTGGCAGCACAAATGGCCAAAGAGTGTGACCTGGAAAGCTAAAAGAAATGTCTGTGTGTGTGTGTGTACTCATTTTGTTTCTTCTTTAAAACCTTTTTCCAGTATTGGACCTCATGGGGAACAAAGCCCGTTCCTAAAGAGGCAACACTTCATTTCTGAGGTGCTGGTTAAAGTTAAAGGTCAGATGTGAATTGTGATTAGAGTTAGGTATGAGTTGGTCAGGGTTAAGGCTAGATAAGGTTTTTACATTTTGACGTTATGAGGACATTTTACTGTTCCTTGCAAATTTAAAAGCTTGTTTGAGGGTTAAGACTTGGTTTTGGAACTAGGTTCAGGTTAAGGTTGTCATTTAGTTGTGATGTTTAAGTTCGAATATAGGGGCTAGGGAATGCATTATGCCAAAACATTTGTCCTCACAACTAAAGAGAGAGTGAGAGTGGGTGTTCCTGTACTTATATCTTTGTGAGGACCATTTTAAGCATAGACTCTACAAAGGACATTTTGACTGGTCCTCACTTCTCAATGGGCTGTGTGACTTGGTTTTAGGGTTAAATGCATTATGTCAATGGCTGTCCTCACTAAGATAGAAGTACAAACGCGTGTGTGTGTGTGTATGTCTGTGTGTGTGTGTGTGTGTGTGTGTGTATGTGTGTGTGTGTGTGTGCGTGTGTGTTTGTACGTGTATATGTCTGTGTGTATATGTCTGTGTGTGTATGTGTGCGCGTGTCTCTAGCCCCGCCCTCTCCGTCACGTCAGGCTGGATGTCAGCAGTAGCCCTCAGTAGTAGAAATGGCAGCGCTGAGACAGGAGCATCGTTATGGACTCTCCTGTGGCAGAATCAACAAAAACAGCCCCAATCAGACGCTGTACCACGTCAAACTCACCGACACTGCCATCCGCACCCTGGAAGCCTTCCAGAACCTCAAGGTAGGAAAACACGAGCGACTTCCACTTCACAGCTGATGCGAGCGTGTTTTCTATTTTCTTGTTTTTGTTTGCATTTCCTTTCTTGTCCTTCCCAACTCCGGGAGCCGTGTCCCGTCCCTCCTGCAGCCGCAGTTGTTGTTGTTGTTGTTGTCAGTAGAAAGTAAAGTTGTAACTCTTGAGTAGACTCTGGACCGACATCGACAGACGCGTCGGTGTCTGGTAATCGTAGGCTGGTTTGTTCTGGCTGTGCTACAATAGAAATCAGACCTCAGCGTGTCTGTCATTAAGAGACTTTATTTCCATTTAAACTCTCCTGAGTGAGGTTTTACCTAAAGCAGGGGAAAGGGGGGGGGGGGCTGTGGTGAATTGAAATCGTCTGCTTGTTTACCAGAAGCGCAATTTCCCGAAAACCCAAAAGGTATTAAAGTTCCCAAATGACAGAGGTTAGTGATTATGCCCCGAGCTTTAAACCCCTCCTGTTTTCTACTCATACAATACATCTGAAATGCATTATTGAGATTGTTGGTGAACGCAGATTATTGTCAGTCACTGGATGTATTTTTTTTTTTTTTTAAAGAGCTGTTTTTTTCTGCTCTGGGGAATAAATTAATGAAGAAGCTGTGAGGGGAATCATTCGTCTGCTCTGGATCTGAAGACTGTTTTATTGCTTTTTAGGGTCCATTATTAGACCAGGATCATTTAGTCTATCCTTTCTCCCAGAGCAAGGCTTGATAAGACAGTTAGTCTCATAGTTATGGCTGCACAAGCCTCATTTGCTTTTTTTTTTGGTCTGAGCCGTCAAAACAAATGAGTGTATTTGGGCCACAACAGGACGGAGAGCTGGGTGTAGGAGTGGGGGGGTTCAGTGGCAGCCAGCTAGATCGGAGCAAGTTGTTGCTCAGCTCTTGTGTATTATTGTTTTTTGCCCTTTGCACGCCTGGAAGTCCGCCCAGCTCTGGAGCTCCACTGCTGAAGCAGAGTCAACTCTATGGAGCTCACACAGTCTGACTGCTTCCTCCCAGCCAAAGCAGCCAGTTAGCCAGCCAGCCAAGCAGGCAGAGCAGCAGAGGTTATACTGCTAAAAGTTTTCCAAGTCAAAGACCACACTCTCCTCTGCACTCTCACCACGGTGTGAGAATGTGTCCTCATTCAGCAGCCTCCACCTGAAAGAGTTTCTGTGACTACATCTGATATATTTGTGGCTTTTTTGTCTGTGGTGTCATTGAGGAGAGCTATAATGTAAACTCATTCTAAGATATACAATTGTATTATGTCAGACTGTAGATGTAGCTGCTGATACAATGTGAGACAATATTGAAAGATACCTCAGTCCCAATTAGTTTAGATTATTTTCATTAGCCTTTATTTAACCAGGTTAGTCCCTGTCTGAGATTAAACATCTCTCATACGAGGGAGACCTGGCCAAGAGGGGCAGCAACATAGTTTCAGCAGTAAAAGTAATTAGCAGACAAACACGTAGATTAATAACAGTAAAACTTGATCATATAAAACTTAAACACAGACAACCTGGACTCAAAAGATTGTATCAAAGCTTTCAACTCTGTTCATGATAATCTGCTTGATATTTATTGCATTTATCAGGTGCTGAAAACTAAAAAGGTTTCTTTCCCAATTCAGACTTTTAATTCTGGAACAACAAATTGTAAAACGTCCACAGAACCAAAATATTGACTTCCATAATTCCACAATAAAAGAGAAGATAAATAAAGATAAATTGCCCTTCATTGATTTGTATATGAATAAATACTAATGACTGAGGCGACGCACACATACCCAGAACCTAAAGATGTTTCATTTACTGTTGTAGACTTTAGCCGTGTCACTTTCCCCCAAAACAAAAAAGATAAATTGATTATCATAACAGTTCCCATGTAACATGATCAACTTATAGTTAAAAAATATTAATAAATTAATACAATAATTTCCCTACCACACAAATAGATAGAAACAACAATATTCATATACAAACTTTGAACCCAATTCATTCAAGTTGAGTTTGTGAGGAAAATTATAAAGAAATGTTATGTTGATGGACAAATTAAATTAATCAACGCATATCCTTTTCTCATATTGTTAATGGTTGGTAATGGTTAATCATTTACTAATGCTTTCCTCATCATCTATTATCCATTAATAACAATCTTTGGATTGCTGGGCTGTAATAAAAATCAATTTGGCTATTGTTTACCCTCTTCTTTATTTATGATAATGCAGTGAAAAACCTTCAGAACCGATTCATTAACACATGTGTTTCTTAATCTCTCATGAATCATCATGTTATAGGCAAGTTGTTTTTAAAGCACTGAAATCCAAATGCTCTCGGGGAGGAGGATAATCACCAGCCAGATGGATTTCTCTCAAACCCTAAACGGAAATTCTCATTAATTGCTCATCACTTAATCTACAAAGTATTAGTAAATTATGTTTCAGTGTTGTTAGTTACAGTTTACAAAGCTTCCATCATGGGTGCCATAGAGATTGAAACTCTTTCAGCTCAAAGAATGATAAACCTATTTGAAAATAATCAAGCCACATTCCGACAAATAACTAGATTTATTTGGGCCCACAGTTGTGTTTGTAACATATAACTATTGTTATGTGCTTTAATATTTAATATCCCATAAGATATTAAAAGCTAATGGATGATGAAGAAAATCACAGCAATGCTCCTCGATAGAGACGGCATTTCCCAAAATCATTAATAATAAATTGAGAGCACTGTCAGTCACAGGCACAGCTGTACAGCTGAACCATGTATCACGTTGCCTCAAGCCCATACCCTTTTTATGATTTTTATATTTTTGTATCGATCGGGGGAAGGAAACAATATGACGTTTATGAGTTTAAGCCAGGTACACTGTGGTCTTGGAGAGCAGAGCAGTTTTTACAAACTGCAGCACTGAGGGCTTATGAAAAGCACATTTTTAAAGGAAGAGAAATGGTTTGAGAAGGAGCTTTGTCTTTCTCTTGGTAAATGTTTTTCATTTCATCTGTTTAGAAATGAGCTGAAACACACACACACACAGGACTGACATGACGTTTTCTGTTGGCTATGGGTCAATCACTCACATTTCTCTGCAGATTGCAGCAACAAGCCCTTGAACTTTAGACTTAATATTATAGAAATATCATAGTAATTCATTAAGGCAAAGCCTGATGGGAAATGGTAATTATAGTGTTTTGGCCTTTAATGAGAAACATTTGTCTGCTATCTAGAAGAATCCGTGGAGCAGAGCCGGAACAATGGCATTACATTTTCACTAACATATGAGACGTCCGTTTGACTAATGAACACCATTTCTGATTCATTTCTCTCTCTCTTCCTCCTCAGGCATCACTATCAACTCAGCCTGCGATCTGCTTCAAGGGGAGCCAGGGGGTAAGATGTTTTGCATACTTTCCCTAATGCCTCAGAAATTGAATGCTCTAATTAGTTCTGATTTACTGTGGAGAGCACTTGTGACAGTTGCTCTGCACATCTTATTCGATTCTCGAGCAGCCATTGAGCACTTGCATGCATCGGCAAATAGCTCGGCCTTGTTCGTTTGCTAATGTCAGGATGATTTTAATGTCAGTCACTCGTTATTGAAACGGAAAGATACAGGGGTCCACATGGAGAACATGGGTAGCTTTTACTTTGCCAGAGCCCAGAGTGCTGAGGGAAAGTCATCAATAGACCCTGTGATGTGGACAGCAATATTCCAATATTAACCTGAAAATATTAACCAATGCAAACAGCATTGTCTGATCACCTTAACCAGAATAAGGTCATACTGGGAATAAGCAGTAATTCAATCAAAACTTTTGGCAGTTACCAACTGCTTGACGTTGCATGTGCTGTGTTCCAGTTTAAACCAGCAGTAGGACATAAAGTTAGTAACAATCAGACGATCGTCTAACATGTAAATAGGAATATGAATGGAATAGTCTAATAACACCTAAACAAATATAATCAAAATGATGTTTTATTCAGAATTGGGTCAATACTATGTGTTACTGTCCATGTCCAGCCTCAAATGTGCTCAGTGATATTATGATGTGTCAAATAGGCAGAACTGCATATACAGCGATGAGTACATGATCTACAAAGTCTCTTGGCAGTAACAACTAAAGGGGCATTCCTGTGAAGCGGCTGTAAAGAAAGATGCCTGTGTCTAGCCAGATTAGCCCAGCCACTATTACAACCTCCCTGTCTCTGCCTGCTAGGCTACTACACATTTACCACACAATCAGCTCTGTCTAAAAGGAGCGGTTCTAATCCCCGCAAGAGCCGATTGCATTGACGAAAGTGACTGTACACAAATGCTGGCCCTGTGCGCTCACACGAGCACTGGAAGCCCTAAGACAGGGTACTCTATACCCCCAGGCTGCTAGCCAGGTTACTGGGTCAGGCTCGCAACTGGGGAGGCTTTGTTCGGTGAGGGGGAGGAGGTGGGGGAATTGGCGAACCCCGGGGAGCCCCCATGTCTTCAAGCCTGTTGTCTCTGTGCGGACAGGAAAGATTTAAAAGACAGAAATTATACAGGAGCTGTGGAATTTTCATCCAGGAAAACATGCAGAACGTGACTACTACAAAAACTAATCTACGCTGTAATGAAACATCCATAAAACAAGCTGCAGGTTAACCTGCTTATAGGAGAGTTTCTGTAAAGCAATGTTAGTGAGTGCAATTTAAGTGTGCTTTAATCACAGAATAGGATTTGTGATAGTATCTTAGCTACCACATTACATATTCAAATTGCTTTGCGGAATTCAAGCATGGGCTCCCTCCCCCTCTGACAATAGTCCCCGAGCTGGACGATTGGGCATTAATGAGGTAGCTGCAACCACTGGTGGTGGGGGAAGCCAGATTAAGCCGTTAGTGGGGGGAGGATGTTGGCGAACATGGCAGTCTGGCACACAACAGACCGAGGGGATAACCAGTATCTGTGTCTCCAGGTTGGAGGGTTACAGTCACAGATGTAGGTGCTATTTATTATTTCTTGAATAAGTGCTTTGCCGGAGTTCGCCCCTTCCCTATAAGCAGTGTGAGGTTCAAGAGGTCATGTGTCACGAGTGAGGAGGTCTGTGTCCATTGACAGTTGCCAGCTGTAGAGCCCGATCACAGAAGCTGCAACTGCTTTTTTCTGATCTTTCCTCTCGCTGGTTCATGTCACATCTCATGTAAAGGGGCACATCCAGGGCCACAAAAACCAGAGGAATTCTTCAAATCACTGTCCTGGCATCACTCCAGGGCTCAGCGGTATCAGGGGCCAGGGCTCCTATCGAGAAATAGCACGCTGAGGTTTTGGGCCGCCTTTCTCTCTGACCCTGCGGCATTTAGTGGTACTATTGTAAATTGTCTGCCAAGCTTGTAATCATGCGAAAGACACAAGCTCCCAGATTCTTCCGAAACGAATGTTGGAGGCAGCAGTGAAACTTACGTAAGAGCTTATTTAAAAAGGATGCCATCGCCAATCATATAGCATGATACAGGAAGAAAATGAATTGGTTTGGTAAATAACTACTGAGAATTTCTTGTGGAGTTGATGGTGATGCAACTATAAAGAAGTAGAAGAAGCAGGGGGATACTTACTTAATACATTTTATAAAGCTCAAAGCTGAAAGGATATTTGATTGTGGATTACTTTGAAATCATCAGTGAGGATTAAGGAATATTTTGGGAGCTGCTCTCAGTTCCCATGGCCTGGAATTTCACATCTTAGTGCTTATTTTCCTTTAGGGCAGGCGATGCTACCTGCTTGTTGGCAAGATTGATGTCTATTCAGTAAGATTTCAAACTTGTGTTACTTTTTATTTGTTATAGGTGGTATATAGATTGGGTAAAAGCTTTTATCCACTCAACCCAAATGCTCTTATTTTAAAGCACATACTTTGCATTCTTCTTTTTGTTGATCGTTCCACTTGCTCTCTAGTGAACGCTTTATCTCAAGTGTCTCATTGCAAAATTGTGACATACCATTGAGTGGCTCAACATGTTTTTTTGTACCACTGAATGCAGGTTTTATTGGTGTAATATTGGCCTAGTAAACACGGACATTACATTTGAATACTGTATGCTGTGTCAGGTGTGACATCGGTTTCATTTCCTCCTCAGTTCATAAATGTTAAATTGCAGTTTTCAGTGTAATTGTTTTTGTTTATGGCTGTTTTTATGTGCACAGCTGTCACATAAAGGCAGCAGTGATGGGACGAGGGGGAAATGTAGAGGTGCTCTCAAAGATATTCTCACGACGACTGTGTGTGAAGGCTGAGCCCCCCCCCCAGCTCCCCCTCGCCTCGCTCTCTTGATTATTGTGCCATTTCGCCCCATGACTTGGCTGAATCCTTTTAGGAGACATCAGGGCCTCTACCTCACACACGGCTGCTCTGACTGTACCCCCACCCCCGCCTCCTGTTCACACTGCAAATAAGCTTTTGCACTATGGAAGTGTGTGTGCGTGTGTGTGTTTGTGTGTTTTCGCACGTTTGCGCACGTCATATTCTTCTTCCTTTTTTTCTGGGAGCTAATTAGAATAACAATAACAGGAATGTGGTTTGAGAGCTGTCCTCTCCCAGTGGCATAGCAGTGAGAGGGAGCGTTGTCCCACGTGTTACTGAAAGGGCACACGCCGCTCTATTCATCCAGATGTGTTAAGCAAGGCAAAGTCTGTGTGCGCTGTGCTCCTCTGAGGCACTCTGTGTTTATGCAGAGGCACTTGGCCTTAGGATTTTTTAGATCATACAGTATATTTTAGGAACAAGCCTCATGAAATCCTACAGTTAACGGCATTTTCTTCAGTTAGCTCCTCTCTCATTACTCTGCGAGTTCTTTAGCTTGAGACAAGGGATCTTGAAGGATGCCACGGTGACTGTGGGAGTATTTTATGGTTACCAGAGTGCTGGATAAGATCAGACATTGAGGGCACATACTGGTCAGGCAGTGTGACCAATAAAAGTATTTTAAAAATGCGAATTTGACAGGATTAGAAATTCGAGCCGTTTTCAGACATGACCTGTGGGTAAAATCCGGAGAATTGGCTACAGAGTTTACCCGCAGTTTGCCTTTCACACATGCACAACACAGCGGGAGGTTCTCTGCACAGACACGTTCACACACACAGTGCAGTTTGTGCAAAAACTCTCTAGACATCTTTGTTGGTGTCTTCTACGTGTGTCTCCCCATTTATTCACCAGGAGATATTTGTTTTATTTTTTTCATTTTCGCCCCCACATACTCGTGGTGAATCGATTTGGGGATCCCCTACTGTGTTCTTACATCCACTGCTCCTGGATTTCTACGGACTTTTAGGAGGCCAGGCAAGGAAAGCCTGCAGAAACTGCGGAGCGTCTCACTCGGACACGACTTCAGTGGATGACTGAAAGTCATTTCAGTCATGTCAGTGAAACTCAGCAGAGTTGTGTTTTGCTCTGGTGTTGTAATCAGGAGCAAAAATGGAAATACATAATACTAATTATTATTCACGCGTTCTCCCCTCTCTCGCTTTTCTAAGAAACCAGTACCAGTATATAACATATATAATATATATATATAAGAGAACAGGGTTCAATGGAGTTTATACCACCACCAAGGCACAACAATCCCTTCTGATATCACATTCAAATTCTTTTGTTGTATTTCATCAACATCCATGAATTATTTGTCAAGAAATCAACGAAAATGCCCTATCACAAAAACTGCTGGATCTGCAGCAACATTAAATGGGTTCTTTCTCTCGCCTCCCCACTCCCCTCCAACAAATTCATGGAAAATGGTGCAGTAGTTAATTACTGGTTACAAATACACAAATGATTCACACCTCTTTGGCACAGGTAATAAAGCCACATTTCACAAACTAAAGATGTTCAAATCATGCATCAGTAAGGTCTTAAATAGTCCTGATGATTATAAGGTTGTTGACCTTTAAATTACTTCTGACTTTTAATCACTGTGTAAAACTGCTGAGTAATGAATTATTAATTTACCCAATAGGTCAATTGGTATTGTAAAGCTAGGACAATGTTTTTCATGAGGAATATTTCATACAGTGTTGGTTCTGGCCTCGGACATTTTTCTTCCTTGGATTTAAAAATGCAGAAAAACAGGATATGAACAACACAGACAGTGTAAATAAACACAGGCAGTGTGTCTGTGCATGTGCAGTGGTGAGGAGCGTTTCAAGCTTAAACCCAAGAGCTTCAAAACAAAACCAGAGAGCTATTGTTTAATCTAGAGACGGAGAGATTTAACAGGGTTCTGTAATCTTTATAAGAAAGAAGGTAGAAGATAAAAAAAGGATAAAAAAGACCATTTCCACTCAATTTTTTGTAGAACAGCTGTTTCCTCCCAGATAAAATAACCAAGTCGGAGGCATTAAGAATAATGTCCCTGGATAGCAA